ATGTAAGATTTTCTAACATGAAACAGCACAATCGTCCAACTCTTACAGGAATATGCTTGGCCTTGAAAACCAACCCAAACCATTAATACTGTGTAAACCTTTTGGAATAATCGAAATAATTAGATGCAAGATGCAATTTATATTAGACGTAGCTCAATCTTAGCTGTCTGTGCTCTTGAGCATCAATGTCTGAAACCGTCTTGTTTCAGAAATTTATATTATTTCTTTTAATAGCATGGGGAATTTCACCAAAAAGCCCCAGTTCTTGTCATTGCGTTAGATGAGACAAACTCTGAGTTACAGTGAGTAGACCGCACAATGGCGTGAGCTGAAGTGATTGCTGTGGACAGGAAGAGTACTGTCCCTTTGACACTTGGGGCACCTTATTTTCAGTGTGAAGTTTTAGGTCATTTTTTGGGTGATGTGGGAGAACTAAACTTGCGGGTCATTTTATTTTAATGTGTGCAATATCAGCAGTTAGTGATTCAGCTTATCTTGCCAAAACAATGAAAAATAGTTATAGGCGCTGTTTTTCATTATGTATGCGAAACAGCTTATGGAATTGCCTCTAGCACTGATAAGGTGCTGTGTACAAACAATTAGGAACGTTAAGGAAATACTGCGACCTGTATTCAGTGGCGGATTTAGAGGCGGTCAGGGGGTCCTAAACCCCCTTCGTATTCTGCCTCCCTCCCCCCCCCCCCCCTCTTGAAAGTAGAATTTTCACTAGCTGGATCATAGTTCTAAATATTGCCAATTGGCACCGTTCGCCCTCTAAAATACCATTTTTTCGGGGCCCTTCATCGGACCCCGAACTCCACGAATGTAGGGAGCGGCTTCGCATCCGCGGACAACCCCATCCCCAGCTCTTCGAATATCTGGATCTTCCCTGGTTATTCCTATGCAAAATTTATAAGTAAGCTTCTATCACGTTTTACTTTAATTATGTGTACATATACTAGTAAAATAGCTCTGATTAGGTGAGCTGCCATAAGCCAATAAACATCTTTTAATGATTCTTGTTTGATATTAATTTACACACGTACAGTACATGTAGTTAACCCTTATGTATGATTGCATCTGTACCGTTGTCATAAAATTTTGAATGCTCAATGTTCCTTTTTTCATCGCTCTCAACTACATTAAATAGTTTAACCTAACACTCTGAAAATATCTATGGTTTATATATTCGATATACATAAGACGCCTCTCTGAAGAATAAAACACAAAACAATAAACATATTTATAAAATCAGAAGGGAAAAAAGAAGAAAACAACAAAACATAATTTAGTGCCTACATTGTAGCTCGAGCACGTTCTTTCAGTGAATACTAGGAATGAACCTATGTATGAACGACTTCACTTGAGCATTTTTCACAGAGATACTTCCCTATTAGTAGTATATTGACAAAACCAATTATTTAACCAAGTTACTTAAAATCCTCTGAGCGATATCTTTATGAAATACAGATTTACGACGTTTATAGATTCAAGTGCCGGTGCCTTTAAGATAAATGCACGTTAAAAAAAAAAAAACAATAGGAAATCGGCACTATGCAACACGCTATACGACGTTTCTTCTTAAAATACGTCTGTGGTTAACTCAGGTAATATTAGCACTGCCCGATTTACTTTCCATTTCGTCGTAATGAATGAACATTAGATATGCCAAGCGCACAATTTGAGTTTTTTTTTTTTTTTTTTTTTTTTTGTTTTTTTTTGCACGTGTTACGCCCTTTTGTGACACGATCAACACTTTCAAACAAACCCAATAACATTTCTGGTTGTCTTTTTCTTAAAAAAACTCTGAGACAGCCTTCCTTTTCTTAACAAATAATGAAATGAATTATTTTGTTTTGTGAAAAATTATTTATTGTCTGGTCGTCATGCAAACTACATGTTGGATGACGGTTGGAGCCAGTTGGAGCGAAATCATTGTCCCGCCATTGCTTTATAACCAGTTATTTCTGAGTTATTTTTATATCTAGTAACTGCATGTTTACACTAACTTCGCTTTTAGACTACTGAGTGCTTGTTTACAGGAACTCACAAGTACTGTTCACGATGCTATTTCCTTAATATAGCTGACATTTGCAAGATATATTTGCATGTCTGTCTGGTTTTCAACTCAGGTAAACTGTGCAATAAAATTTCCCTTTACATAGTCGCCATTAATGAACATTGGAAATACCCAGCTGCGCACACGTCTTTTGAGCAGCCTTTCCATGCGATACTAAATAAATGTCACGTCATCGCTATAAATAAAGACCTGGGCTCCCTACTAGTAGTTCATTGACAAAACCAGTACGACCTACCGTCAAGCGTCAGCGCGTCTTTTCACGGATGTGCACGTCCCTATTGTCGCGCTTTGGCTTTTTGGAGCTATAAATAACAATTGGAAATAACCTGTTTCTGTTTAATTGCTTGCTTATATAACTAATTTAAGGGCACTTGTACATGAACGGCCGCGTTTTCGCAAACTTATACATGTTTAACTTCCTAAAACAAACATGCACGCTTTAAGACAACCAATTGTACATTGTACGTAGGCATCTCACGATTCTAAGCCAAGTCTCTTAACTTCTCGTATTGCACATTTTTCCGTTTTCGAATTGACGGCCAGTGGAGAGTGATAAATATTGTTAAATGCGTCTCAACCAATCGGCGCCCAACGTACATTCCTCTCCTTTTTGGAGTACCAGTAGGCTGTCTTCAAAAGGCCGACACTATCTTCTCAAATACTGAACCCTGCCGTATTACTGCATAGGTAATCCAGTCATAATTAGAACATTCTTGCAACAATCTCAGTTGTACGTGATACAAAAATATTCTACAATTTTTCAAGTAAAGGCAAATTTTTTGTCCCTAGTTTTCAATGATATTTAATCTAGCATAAAGGCAGGGCAAACCAAAAATGTTTTTTACGGCACAGTAAAATGTAATATTTTCTAACATGAAATAGCACAATCGTCCAACTCTTACAGGAATATGCTGGGTCTTGAAAACCAACCCAAACCATTATTACCGTGTAAACCTTTTGGAATAATCGAAATAATTAGATGCAATTTATATTAGAAGTAGCTCAATCTTACCTGTCTAAGCTCTTGACGATCAATGTCTCAAACCGTCTTGTTTCAGGAATTTATATTATTTCTTTTAATAGCATGGGGAATTTCCAGCAAAAAAAACCAGTTCTTGTCATTGCGTTGGATGAGACAAACCGCGAGTTACAGTGAGTGGACCCCACAATGTCGTTAGAGACAGTGATTGCTCTAAACAGGAAGAGTATTTTCCCTTTGACACATGGGGCAGGGGGACCTGCACCTTATTTTCAGTATGAAGTTTTAGGCCATTTTTAGATGATGTGGGCGAACTTGCAGGTCACTTTATTTCAATATTTGCGATATTAGCATTTGGTGATTCAGCATGGCTTGCCAAAACTGTTTTGTTATATATATATATATATATATATATATATAATATTTATTTATATAGTATAATTTTATTTCATTTTTATTATGATTAATTGCCCTTGGATATCACCTATGTTATAGTCACTGCCAGTCCCACCCTGTGGTATAATTCACAAAACCCAAAAAGTCTTGATCGAAAGTCATTTGATATTTGCAGGTAGAGTCCTGTCATTTTGTTTTATAGATTGGCACAACTTTTTCTTACTCACTGCGGTCGATCAGTATAATCTCTTCTAGAACAAGATACTTATATAAAGCTTTTAGGTCATGGTGTGATATAAAATGTAGCTGACTCAGCACTAAAAATGGGGGAAGAAGCTTTTTTATTCTGACTATAGAAATAAATGAACAAGAAAAATACCCTGTATGCACATAATATATGAAAATACAAATACCACATAAGCACGTAAATAAAGTACTCCTTTCATAAATATATACACACCAATAGGAGATAAAGTTGCCTGGACCGGTTTCAAAAAACTTCATAGCCCCAAATACTGAGGGCGAACTGATTTCATGATACAGGTATACAACATGATAGTTCAAAAACGAAGTTTATTGTCAACCCATCCAGGGTCAACACAAATCTCCGCACCTGCTTCAACTGTAAAAGATCGCTCTCATTGTCTTGAATCCGTTATGTTATCAGGGAATAAGATATAGTAACGTCATATAAAATAACATTTTGTGTTACCTGTGCAGCATCCAAATACTAAAATTCATCTTGGCTTATGATTATATTTAGTATACACACATTACATGTCTTTTGTCGGAGATGTTGTAATTCCCTTGGATGCTTTCATTATACGTATGTGTGAGGGAATGAGCATGCAGTCTTACAGTTCTGATCTAAAATGATCTAAAATCACATTGTAGGCGTGCGCAGTGTACTTTTGTGATGTAAGGTGTCTCGATCACTTCAGTATATGGTATGGTAAGAGGTGTCTCACCTCCGTATGACTGGGTTCCCATACCTAGACCGATTTAACATGATCGATCCACCCGGGGGTTTCTCGCTAAATTGCTTTCAGCTTAAGCTGCTTAGATATCTGGCACGCCTTTGAAGCTGCTAAACAATAATCAATTATCCTCTAGCTGCTTCAGTAGCACTATCAAATATACCCAACGCGATTATACTAATACAAAATGTTATTAAAGAAAATTACAACTATCATACTAACATAAAATTTTATTAAAGTAAATTACAACACGCAAGATATATAAAGTAATAGATTTCTTAAGACTGATCGTATGAAATTGCTAATATAACGCTAATATAACGCAGCACGTTTACAACGAATCATTTCTCCGCAAATTTGGCACTTATTATATATTTAAAAAATTACAAGGGATATAAGTATATCTTAACGGTTCAGTTTTTGAGTTTTTGACTTTGGCACAGCATATATTTTGTTTTCTTGAATTCTTCTTGAATAATCATTCGAAAATTGGTCTTTCAAAAAAAAAAAAAAAAAAAAAAAAAAAAAAAAAAAGTCTTAGATATCTCTAAGACTTTCCAAAGTTGCTGAACTGGACATATTTAAAACTTTATCATAATGTGTATCATGGATAATGATTTTCGGTATACTAATAGCTTATACTGATCAAAACGCGAGACTGAATACCACACCGGATAAGAACATTTAACAATTAAGCGCACAATATTTTGGAAAAATTAGCAAGGGTTATGGAATAATTGTCAAAGTCGCTCGTTTTTTCAAAGAATTGCAGTTCGGTAAAATGAAAAATCAGCTATGTGTCCTTTTATCCACGTTGGTTCCTTATCCAAACTATTGTAAATTATTTTTAAAGCAAAGGTATGTTACAGCTCGTGTTAGAGTCTCATATCCTCACTGAACAAGTTCAAGCATCCTATGCCTGGTCTTCATGAGTCTACTGTTCTAGTGAAGCCTTTCCCTCCTGAGCAAGCTCATGCATTTCTCTGGCTAGGTCTCTGATCTTATTGGCCTGTGGAGACCAGTTGTTGCTGTTTTGCTTGATGACGCACTGTGATATGGTGTAAATATCAAAGGGTACCATCGCCAAGGTTCCCATAAATCCTGTGAACAGAATTTGACGCCCAAGAGTGGTAACAAGTGCGGCAACGCCGCTTTGAACTAGTACGCCCACTGCGAGCCGACTGCGGGCTGGCTCCTCGTTCTTCAACACAGGGGAGAAACCAGAAGATCGTGCGAGCTCACTAAACCTCTCTATGCTCTCTTTATATGCTTTGGCCCTCTCACGAACGGCATCAACTGCACTCTGCGCTTCGCTGCACTTGGATCTGGTGATGCGATGCTCATTTAAAGTATGATAACCGCATTTTATGCCTCCTCCGCCACAGAGTGCTCCTCCGACGACAAGCAATCCAATTGCCGCAACAGGAATAGCAAAGCCTGCAGCCAGAAATGGCAACCCCCCCAGGGAAGCTGCAGAACCGATGATTTTTCCTGAAATTTGAATTAAAAAACTTGAAACAGTACAGGGCTCAGCTTTTTCTAAAATAGATACAGTAAAATATTATATTTCTGTCTTTAAATTATCCCTTTTTATTCCACATTGAAAAATCTACAAAAGCGAAATAATGTCAGATTTATTTGAAAGTTTTGGTACACAATTTGTGTTAAGGCTTTGGGCCATAAGTGTTAAATGACCCCGTTTCGGTTACATGTTAACTAGTAAGGCATTTTTTTTAAATAACTTGTTTCTCAAGCTCTGCCGACCTCAAAATGGCCAAAATAGAAAAAAAATTGAAACCAAAAATATTTTTATTTTTCCCCGACGTCCGACTGATCGTACTGTTCGATCGGAGACACGAAACCTCACAAGTTTCACGGGACTCCCGCGTCACATAACTGCCTACAAGTTCAAAACGAAGGTTATTTATTCCAAAGTAAACGATTGGTTCATTTCCTCCAGCTTCCGGTTTTTAAGCCAATAAGTGCTTTGCTGATATTTTACACTGCATGAGTCAAATTAATGCAACATGGCGGGAAAAGTTTACTAAGCAGGAATTTGACCACTGTCGTGTGGCTCAGTGTTAAAGTGAAGGAAGGACCAAAGATATTATGCAAAAAGGTCTTTCCGGCCAGTTTTACAGACGTTTTAGGCAATATTATTGACTGTTTACTGTCACAAATGAAAATATCTACTGCAACACTTGTCACGTGTGGAAGGTTTCAACAGGGAGCCAGCAACGCCAGGAGCAAAAATAGGTTCTGAACTGGATGTAAAAATGCCGGTCACTACGATGGTAGATATTAACATTAAGTACATTCAGATAACATTCAGATAATAATTTTTATTAATTTAAGCCAGGTAATAGCTGTTAACTATCATTTGCTTTGGACAATGAGCCTGTCAACATTAACTCATAGTTCAGTTTTCCACCAAGTTTTTAATGCGAATAAAAGGTTAACCACGCCCGTAGCCAGCGATTTCAAAAGAGGGTTCTTTTTCTGAAAAAAAAAGTGGACCATTTACCATAAAACCTTCATGGACCTAGATCAATTTTGACCCAGAGCAGACCTTTTCCTGCTAAAAAGGGTGGTTCATTATAATCGTTCAAAACTCCTTGGCTATGGACCTGTGACTTGGTAGTTCTGTTTTATTATTATTTATTTTGATAATGAACCTTTTTTATTAAATAAGTTAAGTTGTTGCTGCCATGTAGATTTAATAAAAATTAAGACCACAGTTCCATAACAGGCCATATTACCCTTGCTGAATTTTTGTATCTTCAACAATCTGGCTAAGCAACTTTTTGCTGTCTTTTGAATTGTACAATTCCTATGCAGCTAACAGAAGGCACGTCCAACTCAGTTAACTTATCTGAAATATTTTTTTCAGTGAATCCCCCAGTAATGAAAGGCAGACAATGTATAATTCAATCTCGCAAGTAGTGGAAGACTTCAATGTTGGTTTTCGGGCTGGACAGGCCAAAAATCTTGGAAAACACATAGCAGAGACACTGGCAGAGGAGCTATTGTATAGAAGACCATATGCAGAGAGAGACTGGCTAGCTTAGTGCAGCTGCCATAGTGACCATTAAAGGACGGTCATTTAGCAAGATGATTTTCAAACTTACAAACTCAAAGGTCTAAAATATAGCCTGATTGAATTCTTTTTATGGAAGTAATGCTTTTTGTGAAATTTTCATTTTTCACAAACATGTATTGGTGTTTTCTGTGTGGAACTTGGAACTCACAGGGACATGAAGCCATATTGTTTCTGGATGGCCATGTTACATGAAGTAGATAATTTAAATTTGGTGATGATTTTCCACTTAATCATTAAATCTTACATAATATTGCATCAAGATTGACAAAAAAACTGTTTTGTGCACTGCCATCATGAATGCATAGAAAGGCAAACTGTGATTTTTATTGTTTTGTAATTTACAAGAATGATTCGTAGTATTGACATTCATTTAGACAAAAAAAAAATTGAAAAGGGATTGCTGTTTTTATCCAAAAATTGCTATACTGCGTTAAAACCAGTATTTACCAGTCTAATGTAGTTTTGAAAATGAGTGACCAAAAAGTCATTAATGTGAAAATATTTTTATTGTTCCCCCCTCCGACCTCTGACAAAAATAAAAATTGTTTGAGAAACAAGTAATTAAAAAATCTGCCTAACTTGCTTACGTTGCTAATCTCTCAAAATATACAGCCCATAGTATGTTGCTCATTTATAAAACCTGACGTAAAGATGGACTTTGTTGGCTACGTTCGTTTGAACTTTATCTCTGAAAAGGCTGTCCGTTTGATTCCATTCAATCAATGTCGTTAACGCCTCTCATCTGAGTTTGACTATATTTGATAACATGTTTTATGCAAGCTGCCCTGTGCCCGCAAACAGAATTCTCAAATTAAATTTTAAGAAAACATTTACGGGGTACAAAGTTTGCATTGAGACAAGGGAAAGTTACCCTCTACCGCAGATTAATTATGCCCACTTTTCTCTAGCATGACCGTTGTACTTGTGCCAAATAGATGTATTTATATATGGTTTATGATTGATTCAGTTTTGTTGGTATATGAAAAGTCTTACAGGTTTTGGCCAATGATAAACTCAGGAGTGATTGCTACTCATTTATTTCAATGAGGTCTCTTTATATAAGCTGACGCTATGAGTTACTATTCATTGAGCCAAGAGTCAAACTAGTAGGCCTAAACGTGTACAGTGTATACTGACTGATTCAGAGTGTGACGAGGCATCAGTATCTCAAAATAAGAGCGAGGATCGCATTGTCCTACGTTGAATAAGGCTGTTGAGCTTTTCAATGCTTCTCTTGAGAAACATTTGTCTTCAAAATTTGAAAAACAGAAGAGAGAGATTTTTGAAGAATTGTAGCAAAGTTCGTCCACTTTGAGAAAAAAGATATAGAAAGAAAACGAACTCTCGTTCAAATTTAAGGGAAACAAGGTGCAGTATGAGTTTAACAGCGATAATTCTAATATTCTTGTTATAAATTAACGGTTTGTAGATTCTAACAACCGGAGAAAAGTGCAGTTATCCAAGCAAAATAATCTTTGAGAAAACGTAACAAACCGATTCGTATTGCTGATAAGTCTGATGCCGGTTGGGTGTGTGTGCAAGAATATTTATCGGACGAAGTAGCCAGCGATACTGATGACGAAAAGAAGATAAGACGAAAAGAAGAAAAGAAAACCGTGCACTTAGGGCTAAAAGATAGAAACTGAGCCAGAAAAATGGAAGTAGACATGATGCTTCGTCAGCAAGACCCAGTCAAAGGTATGATAATTCTCCTTGGGGTTCTTTTCGTCCAAGAAGCGATCCAATATATAGCAGACAGCCAGGCCCAGCAGATATTTGTTGGTATTGCCCAAAAATTGGACACTGGTCCAGGGATTGCTTCTAGATGAAAAACGCTAAAATCAAGAAAGGATTCGGGAGAGAGAAAAAGAGTGAAGATCCTACTGTTACTGTACCATGTAGAGAGAAACCTGTTTTCAGTTATATAAAAGATGAGTACGAACAAAACTTTATTGAAGATCAGCATTTGTTTAATGATGATTAGTTAGAAAAAGATGAATTAAATTGTTTTCATTTAGAACATAAAGAATGCGAGTATTTTAACAACATTAAGGCTTGGTATGTTGGTCGCGATTAATTGCGAAAATGCATATGCAAAATCATTACGAGGTTATAAGTACAATGTAAGGGAGCTTACAAACTTACAAATAATAATAATAAGAATAATAATAATAATAATAATTCAAAGATGTTACCTTCGTTACTTTTTTTGCAAACCTCGTCAATTTCGTTGGCAAGACGATGCAGAATACTGGCGGCGTCTTCGGCGCTTTTATTAAGCTCGCTAAGCTCTTTTCTCAACGATTCACTCAACTTCTCAAAAGCTGCAGTAGTTGAAGACGCCATACCGAGTCTTTGAACACTTAATATAAAAGAAAACAAAAACTCATTGTTAAAGAATATTCCGTAAACAACACGAACACCCTTCCTCTTATGTGGTGTTTTAATATGTGGGCAATGAACAAGAAAATCAAATGCATCACATTTTTTCAACACCCCTTTTCGCACGTTTGGCTTTTGCCAAGTGCAAAATGGAAAGGATTTGTCTTATGATTCCTGCGATTTGCAACTTATCAGTTATACAGGAAAACCAATCTGTTTCAATCAGGCGAGGAATACACTGTAAAACAATTATAAATGTGTATGAAAACCCTTTAATGAACCATATGTAAGACAAAAATTGACAGTTTGCAACTTCAGCTCGTCTGTGCAGTGTTTAGCGTGCAAGGCCATAAGGTAAGTATTCATAAATCACCCTCTTACGTGCTTGGGTTCTAGACCTACGTATGACACTACCCTACCTCCCACCACACACACACACACACACACAACACCCATCTAGGATAACATGTTTTCGGCGTGACATCCGTTTACATTTGAGCTGAATATGGTGTTTTTGTTTGAATTGTTCTTTAACAAACGTCAATTTATATTAATCCCCACTGTAACAGTTTCATTTAACTATATAAGCTGTGCTTACATGTTTAAAGGATTCACAATGAGGGTTAATTTTAATATTGCCTGCCGTCCACAAAATAAAAATGAATAAATGAAAAGATAAACTAATAAAAGCATATGAAAATCAACGTAACCATGTCCACAACTATGCGACGTCAGAGCAGGCGGATTTAATCAATGCTTCTCTCCCCCACCACGGTAGCACTGGTGTGGATTTGCCACTCATTGTGTTAGGTGAGAAACAAACGCAGTGGACGAAAGGGATGGGTGCACACATGTAAAGTGATAAATGACAGGGAGATTTATTGTTACTCAAAATAGATTTAATAAATCACGAATGAAATACCGTTGGTACGCACTGCGATTTATTTGAGGCACGTCTTTAATTATAATTAGTAGGTGGTGGTAAACAAAAGTGATTGCTTTGTAAATAGGAAGAGTCTTATCAACGTTGTCATTTCTCTTTCAAACTATTGTAAACTATATTTAAGGCAAAAGTATCTTTCAGTTGGGGTTAAAATCTCATATCCCCACTGTTGTAGACTCACCGGTACTTTTTCCCAAAAATTCTCTTGACTTTTAAAGATATCTTTTCATGTCTGCCCTGTTGTCAACACAGGCACAGTGTATACTGCGCAATAAAACGAACAGCAGATATTCCCACCTGCGCACAACTCTTTTGAGAATCTTTTTCTTTCCATATAATAAACTCTTTGCGGCACTGTAAATTTAATATTACTTACTAATTGTTTTGGGTATTTCATTACGTCTTCAGCCTACCAAAACACTAGCTCTCAACTTGGTTGTCTGGCTGTCACATCCCATTACTAAATAAATTTTCACGGCATTGCTATTAATAAACATGTGTACTCGCCATTGTTTGAACAATTACTATATTCCCTTTGCAAAACATAATTTAGTGCTTTTATTTAATGTTGATAAACCCATATGTCATCCTACATGTTATTTTTTTCTGATCAATTCACCTGCATCAATACACAACGCCGACCAGTTTTGCGCAGAGTTTTTTTAATCATGCCTACCATTACACTTACCATTTAGCTCACAATCTTTAAATGGATGATAGGATGAAAAGAACTGAGATATGTCCTACTTCATTTGAGCCCTTTCATTGTTTGTTACTGGTGTGTTGACAAAATTATTGATCGAACTTACTTGAAATCCGTCTGAGCAATAAGAGAGATTTATGACATTACAAGTGTCAAGCGTCGGCTCCTTTTTTCAGGGAGGTGCACGGCCATTATGTCACGTATTGCCTTTTTGCAAGTTATAAATAACAATGCAAATAATCCATTTCTGTTCAATTGTTTGTTTAAAAGCTGTTTTCGCAGATACTAGTACATCGACGGTAGCGTTTTCGCCAGCTTATACACGTTTACAATATCATAGCCAGCGGAGAGTGATAAAAAGCCTTTAAATACGTCTCAACCAATCACCGCCGAATGGACATGCATATGCTCTTAGGGGTACTACCAGTAGGTCGTCTACAAAAAGCCAACATCGTCTTCTCAAATACTAAACCGTTCTTTTACATTCTTCTGCTATAGTGTGCCGTATATCTGCATACGAAATCTAGACATAATTTGAACGTTCTTGAACTAATCTTAGTCGTGATATACGTGTAAATGAATTCCTAAACGTTTTCAAATTTAGGCATATTTTGAATCTGGTTTACAATGAATTTTAGCCTAACATATAGGCAAACCCATCTTTCTTCACGGCAAAGTAAAATGAAATATTTTTAGCATGGAAAGGTACAATCGTCAACTCTTATGGAATATGCTGGGTCTTGATATCCAATCCAAAACATTATAACTGTGTAAACCTTTTGGAATAATCGAATAGTTAGATGTAATTTATATTAGAAGCAGCTCAATCTTACCTGTCTACGCTCTCGACGCTCAATGTCTGAAACCGACTCGTTACAGGGATTTTTTTATTAATTCTTTTAATAGAATGGGGAATTTTCCGCAAAAAAGCCCTACCCTAGTGCTTGCCATTGCGTTAGATGAGGTAAACCGTGAGTTAAAGTGAAAAGGCCCCACGATGCCGTGAGTAAAGGTGATTGCTGTATACAGGAAAAGTATTGGCATGCCTTTGGCTCTAGGGGAAGTGAGTCCTGCACAGTATTTTCAGTATAAAATGTGGGCGAACTTGCGGGTCACTCTATTTCAATGTGTTCAATATTTACATTTGGTGATTCGGCGTATCTTGCCAAAACAATTAACATGAGTTTTAGGTTCTGTGTTTCTTTGTATATGTAACACAGGTCATGTAATAGCCTGCTGTACTGTTAAGGTGCTGTGTACAAACAATTAGGAACGTTAAACAAATACCACGACCTTTATTCCTATGCAAAATCTCTGAGTAAGCTTCTATCAGAATTTACTCTCTAATGTACATGTAAACTAGTGAAATATTTATAAGATGGGCTACCCCAAGTCATCAACCTCTTTTCCAAAGCTCTTGTTTGGCAATACTTTACACACAGCACATTTACTAACTCCTGAAGTATATAAGTATTTATGACAGCGCCTGTGCTCAAGTCGTTAGAGCCGTCAGAGTTTGAAACTGACACTTAATTCCCAGCAACTACCTATCACTGACAGCGTCCTGTCCTCTTTATACCTACAAGCCTGGGTGACGCTCTTCCTGGAAAGACAAACATGTTCTATGACATGTTTCAGCAGCGGTGTACGTGAGCCAAAGTAAACTTTCCTAAGGTGATAACCCAACTGGGATGATAACAAAGTTATATATATATATAAGATAAAAGGATATCTGGCTGCATTGTTCAGTGCGTATATTGTTCTGAAGGTAAAAACATGAGATTGATATACTTCATGCTTACAAGCAAACGCAGACAACTGTTATGACATTTTGCCTTCCACTTGGGTTTGAGTAATTTCTAACACATTTTAAAGAATTTGTATCAGTAATTTTCTACTCCCCTTATATCACTCCTCACAAAAGTGCACTTAAACTAATCACAACTACCGGAAGTTGATGTTTTTATTCCAGGTTTACACAGGTACCCTGCATCATTGTGCAAATCTCACAACAAATCAAACAGATTAAGGCACAATTATTTGCATTTAAGTATTTCCACTGAAATTGTGTCTATCTCAATGGTGGCTAAGTGACCAATGTAGGAAGCACATTTTCATCTTGACACGGCTCGGTCAAAGAAAGACTGTTCTCAGCCATATTGGGAGGCAGTTGGCATTGAATCTAACACCCCATTTCCATAGATTTTTAGATCGATCTCTCCCTGTGGGGAGTCTCAATAGATTACTGTCAGTTTGGCCGGCTTAAGCGTCTGTCCCGCCTACTAAAAGCTGTAAGGGGGTATTTAACTATGGTGCCCGCTCGGCTGACTGCAATTTAGCGTGAACCCCCAAGGAGTTAGGTCGATCTAAATCTTAATCTCTAGATCGATCTAAATCTCTGGGAAAGCACCCTAAAATTAAATTTTAGTGTCATAATGAAAAAGGGGTGGTTTCTCTGAAGGGCAGAATCCACCAAACAGACCTATCATTGCTTGTTATAGACAAATGTAGTGCTGTGAAAAAATAGTGTTTTTTTTTCAGCCGGGGAGCCACTGGCCCATATGACCGTTATTTTCCCAATTCTTAGATAGTAGCCTCGTTTTCAAATAGGCCCGCTTCGCCTTGAGAAAATATGGCGGGAATCAGAGGTATAGAATAGGGTAAGATTAAAAGGTGATTATAGAATGACTGTAGAGGTGTATTTAAAAAGACTTGGCAGAACGATATATTATATGCTTAAGTTATATTGTATACACCAAAAGAATGTTGACACATGTATTTTACAGAGTTTTCACTGATTTTAGATGCCAGCACCAAAATGGCGTCAGACAAAACTCCGACGTAAACACGCTTTTTTGAATAGAGACAAATGCAGCTGAACAAGTATTTTCTTTTTCTGTTCACATTTTTAGATAGCTAAATTATCATTTTTGCACATATGAAAATTTTGGAATCCGGAGAAACCTCTGTCTTATAGATTTTGAGCATTTCCAACAAGGTGTATATTGAGCGTAAAGATCATTGGGTCAATGGTAGCTAGCAGCTTCGTTGGTTTCGTCATTATTGAATGAATGTCATTGTAAGATATTTATGCCGTTTTTGTTAGACATGGGCTTAAAAAAGCAGAAAAAGGTGATTTTGAGTTGGCAGTGTGCAGATACTTGCTGTCACACGCTGACTGACGCGCGAGCGCACACGCGCGTCGCCATCTCATTCTTTCTCTGCCATACACAAGTACGCATATACTTGCACAAACATATGATTTTTAAGTTTGTGAACTATGAAAGAACAATCAATAAATGTTTCAATACTGATTGAATTTGAGTCTAGATTACCCTCAGTAATACTATTCAACTATAATTGCTACCTGTTTTGCTATTACAAAGGTTGTTTATATATTTTAATATATTA